CTTCCAAGTGCATCGCCGACCCCTGGGTGCCCACGCCAACTGCCCTTCAGTCCTGGCCCACCCGCGCGCCAGCGTTAGCTCTGCCTCCCTCCAGGCGGCCTCCCTGCTGCCCCGGCTCTGTCGGGACCGGGCCCCAGCACAGCGCCTTGCTCACGTCCTGGAGCTCCCACAGTGTGTCTCAGGTCTGCCCTCAACACAGGTGCCGGGGCGACCCCGGGAGACGCAGGCCCCACGCAGGGACAGCGTAGAGAGCGCGGGCCGGGTTGGGACACCCCCCGGCTCCCATGTCCGTGTGCTGGTCCACTTGTCTCCCCTGTGGGCCGCTGTGAGGGCTTCGTCATGCCCGGCACAGCGCCCGGCTCAGAGAGGGTCCTCAGCCGGGCCCCTGCTCACGGGCACCTCCAGTTAATTTGGGGCCTCAAAGTGTACAAGCTGGCACCCAGACGGGGGCCCTGCAGCGCCTCACTGTCGCGGTGAGGGTCAGGAGCAGGAGAGACTGCGGACCCCGGGGCGGCTCCCTGGACGTGAGCAGTCGCACGGTGGCTTTGGGCCAACCGTTAATGCAGGTCACGGCGGCTCAGATCCCCCTTATGAAGTGGGGTGATGATAAAGTTGAGTCCCCAGGGAAGTGATACACATTAAATGAGATGATATTTAAAAAGTGCTTGGCAGCCCTGGCCGGTTTGGCTCAGCGGTTAGAGTGTCGGCCTTCAGTCCAGAGAGTCCCGGGTTCGGTTCCTGCTAAGGGCACGTACCTCGGTTGCAGTTTGTCCTCGGACCTGGTTGGGTCGTGCGGGTGGCAGCCACTCGATGTGTCCCTTTCACATCGATGTTTCTCTCTCTTCCTCTAGCTCCCTCCCACTCTATCTGAACAAAAAAAATGGAAAAATGTCCTAGGATGAGAATAAAAAAAAAAGTGCCTGGCAAAGACTGTTCAGCACCCCTCACCCCTTCCTGACTGAACTCCTCAGAGGTGGGGTCTCCTTCCGCTCTGGGCACCCAGCTGTGACACCCAGTGACAGCCCTGATGGGAGGCTGACCGTGTCACGCTGTCATGGGCTCTGGGGCTGATCTGAGACTGCCCGGGCACCTTGGCTCCCGTGGACGGCGCCTCGCTTTAGACGCGGGGAATGGTGTCCATGCATTCGGACTTTGAGTCTGTCTGCCATAGGTACCTCTCCTGCGAGGGAGAGATGCCAGCAGTGCCCCTGAGCCCCCGGGCATCCGGCATCCCGCGTCCTGTCTCCTTAACCTCATCCTATAAATCACCCTCGGGTTGCAGGCTGACGATTCACATCGGACGAGAGCGGGGGCCCCGCGGGGAGGGTGGTGCAGTCCTGTCTGCGCTGAGGGCGGGGACGCTGCGTTGCCATGAGCCCCGTGCCCACCACAAAACTAACCTGACGTCTTCAGCCCTTGGTCTCCTGTCCCAAAGGCCCAGAGCTCGGAGCGAAGGGCGGAGGGGGAATGAAGGTGGCGCCGTGACAGCCCGGGGGGGCCGTTGTCGTCGGGCAGCTGCGCAGAGAGCGGTCCGTTTATCCCGGGGTCCCTGCGACGCTGCTGGAGACTCGAGGGTCTTTCCCCACTCCAGCTGTGCGCCCACCGTGGGGCCAGGCCAGATGCAGCTGGTCCGTGTGGACGCCGCAGTGGGGACACTTGCTATGGCACCGTGCAAGCACCGGACTCACGGAAAGACAGCCACACTCCAGGTCCGAGGGGACGCTTTGACGAGAAGACCAAAGCGGTCTCTCGTCCTTGGCAACATTCACCTTCAGGCCGTGGTCATTCTTTGTTGGGGAGGTTGGTCCTACGTTGCAGGCTTCCTGCCTCTGCCCACCAGATGCCCCTTGTCCCCCAGTCGTGACAGTGAGAACCGACCGGAGTAGAACATCTTGACCTCCCTGGTAACTGCAGTCAGTCCTTGTTACGTGTCTGGCCTCAGACAAGAAATCTGATCCCGCTGAGCGGGGCAGGGGCAAAGGAGCGATGCCCTCTCGGTGCCCACTGGGCTCGGGTGCCCTGCAGGGGGTGGAGCCGTGCGGCTGGGCGCCCTTCCCCCGCCAGCTCCCAGGCAGTGCCAGTCTCCCCTGAGCCCCTCCAGGGGCCACGCGAGCGGGCGTCCTGCCAGGCAGCTGCCAGCCGTGTGCGTCGCTGCTTTTCGTAAGGAAGGGCGCAGAGCCATCTCGCCCGTGAATCAGGGTTTCAGGGTTCTCGGCGGGATCTTAGCGACCGCCTGGCAAGCTCCTGTCCACTGCGCCCCTGGGAGGCTGGAACGGGCACTGCCCCCAACCTCGGCCCACCGGCCCCGGAGTCAGTTCCAGGGGCTTGGCAGGGCCGAGGAAGCTCTCGGGTAGAAGTAGTGTTCTTTTCATTACGATTCTCAATGTTCAGTTTTCAAACACTTAGAGAGAACAAGGAAGCTGGACCAGTAGCCCCAGCTACTCCCTGAGGAGGAGGTGGAGGAAGGAGACGGGGAGCCTGGGTTGCTGGAGACCCCCCAGGGAGCTCCTGAGCTGCCCCCCCCCCCCATGGCCCTTCCTGCCCTGAGGGCTCAGCCCAGCTCCTTGCAGCCACGTGCACCCTGGGGCTCCCCCATGGAGCCTGAGCCTGCTCATGGTCCTGCTGCTGCCCCTGAGGGAGGTGACCCCTGCTGGGGTCTTGGCCTGGTGGCCTGGCTTCTGTCCTGCAGACATTCACACATTCACGGGAGAACGTGAGAGGCAGGCCCCGTAGGTTTCTGGGAGCCATCCTCACCTCCTTGGGGACAGGTGCTCTGGTCCTTTGCTGTGGGACACACACCGTCCCCTCTGGCTGGAAAAGCGGCCGTGCTGCTCTCTTCTGCGTCCTCCCCCATTGCCGTCGCCGCGGCCACCCTTCTTGGGCCCAGCTCTCCGGCCTTTCGGATTTCTCCAGATGCCCCCCCACTGCCTCTGGGAAGCCGATCCCCCGCCTCTCGGGTACCCCAGGGAGGTCACGCTGGCCGCCTCTGCGGAAGCCTTTGAGCAGCTCTTCGGAGACGGTCCTGGGGAGGACCTCGTTCCGCAGCCTCCGCCCCGGGTGACCTGGAAGGGGCTGCCGAGAGCCGGGCAGGTCAGCCGGAATTAACGCGCGTTTCGCTGGAAGAATGGTTACCGCCCATGTCTTCGTCCGTGGCCGGGCTGGGCTGCCCTGCAGTGCTGAAGGGCCCCGAGGGCCCCTGCCCTGCTCGGGGGCTCAGGTCTGCCCCTGGTTTGCAGGCACAGCCTCTCAAAGGGTGGAGGCCACTTGGCCGGACCGTGGCTAGTGGTCACCGCCTTGGCTGTCCCTGGGCGAAGCTTTGTGCGCCACGCGCTGTGCTAGCCAGCGACTCCGCGAGCTCACCCTCCAGCTGGAGCAGGTGCCGAGGGACCGAGGGCTGGGCCTTGGGCAAACAGGAAAGCGGCCAGGCCTCGGTCCCGTCTCCATAGTCACTGAGCCCGAGCTGGCCGGCTCGCTGCCCTCCAGGCCTGCTGGGAGCCGGCGTGGGGTGGAGAACTCTGCCCAGAGGCATGGCAGCCCTGGGCAGGGCGCTGCCAGCTGCAGACCGGCTCCCGCTGTCCCACACCCGGTTTGTCCTGTCTCCCCAAGCAGGTGTGGAGGCCTCGCGTACACGCAGGGAACACGGGAATGTTCCAGAGGCCACAGGGCCAGACGCTCAGATGGTCCCTACTCCTTCCAGAGTCTCTGTGCCTCTGAGGTCTGAGGGGACCCAGCCTGCCAGCTGCCCCGGGGTTGTCCAGCATTCGGGCATACCTCCCATGCCCCCCCAGCAGCCTGGGGGACCGTGCCTCTCACTAGCCTGGGTTGGGGACGGCGGCTCTGACCCTTGGGTGGTGAATGTAGCCGGTCACCTTGCTCTTGGAGCCTGCTGCCAGTGGACACAACGTAACTGCAGGAAGAGCAACGCCCACGGGCCCAGGGTTTTGTTAGCACCACCTGGTCCCTGCGCACACTCAGCAGTCTCTGTGCACACTCTGTGCACACTCAGCAGTCTCTGTGCACACTCTGCGCACACTCAGCCGTCCTCCCGAGCTCTGGGCGGCCAGGCCGGGCTGCGGTGATTACAGCTTCAGGCCGATGTCAGTGGACACGTAGATGCTCGCACCCTCGCCGGGAACTCGCACGGCCCCCCTGCCCGTGGTGAGGAGCCCTGTCCGGCGAGAGCGCCCGCACGGCACACAGCGCCCGGGCTGCAGTGGCCCCAAGACCTGCCGCAGAGAAAAGATCCCCCTGACGCTGCGCCCCCATCCCATCAACTGGCAGTTGCTGTCCAGTTCTCAGCCGGGTGAATGGGGTGCTCGGCCCTGTGCTTCTCCGTTAACCTGGGCGCCCCGACTGCGGACGCTGACTCAGATGCAGAAGCGGCTGCATTTCCTCCCTGGCCGTCGAGGAAGGGACTTGAGTTTGTGTTTTGTGTGTCTTTCTGCCTCTCTCGCCTCCTTTTCCTGAGATCATCTCAAACCAACAGTAAGAAGAACGGTGTATGGGAGCAATCCCGTCTCGACGAGCCCCGCAATCCCTCCGGGAATGTCCATTTTTCTTGCTTTCATGGAAACACTGTGAGGTCTCGCTTAGGGGGACAGTGGCAGAGATTAAAGGGTGGGGACGCCAAGGAGAGACGTCAAGTAGAAAGGCAGGTCACCCCAGCTGCCACAGAGCTTCCTGCTGTGATTCAGGGGGTTCACTCGGGACTCACCAGACCCGGGGACATTCTTGGCTCGTGTGTAGTTCTGTGGTGAGAACCGATTTTAAGTACAAAAGACAGAGGAAGCCACCCCTTCTCTCGGGAGTCGGTCTTACGGCGCCTGTGAATGTAGGTTGTGGGTGTGCGTGGGCGGGGGGTCACATACTGACCCACTGGATTGCCGGTTCCTTGTTCACTCCGGACATCGCTACCACTGGATGTCAGCCTGGCTGTGTTTGTGGCCGAGCGGATGCCTGCAAGCCCCCCTGAGCACCTGTCTTTCTGTCGGGCTACCGGGATGGGGCCCACACCCCGGGCTGATCTGCAGGGAGCGGGTGCCAGGCTGGAGAAGGTGGCATCTGAGGCCGTCTGGGCTATGCCGCAGAGCCTGTCTATCGCAGCAGAATCGCTGTGCCCCCTCCGCCCAGCCTTGGAGCTGGCCTGCTTTTGCCACCGGGGCCAGGAGAGGTGCTGGTGCGAGAGGGTGACCCGCGCTGGGCGTCTTCCACAGGCATGGCTCTGGCTCTGGTGCCTCTCACCTGGAGCTCCAGCCTCATTATGACCCCGCATCTGCTCGCGTGGCGGATTGCCGGTAAGCCTCACAGGCCAGGTCCTTGAAGGGGAGAGAATGACCACGCGGTCTCTCAGAGCGTGCAGGGCGCCCGCTCAGTGAGCAGCCGAGGCCACGTGCGGGTTCCGGGGGCAGGGCCTGCGCACACGGGCGCCCAGCTCAAGTTCCGGGGGCAGGGCCTGCGCACACGGGCGCCCAGTTCAAGTTCCGGGGGCAGGGCCTGTGCACACGGGCGCCCAGTTCAAGTTCCGGGGGCAGGGCCTGCGCACACGGGCGCCCAGTTCAAGTTCCGGGGGCAGGGCCTGCGCACACGGGCGCCCAGTTCAAGTTCCGGGGACAGGGCCTGCGCACACGGGCGCCCAGTTCAAGTTCCGGGGTCAGGGCCTGCGCACACGGGCGCCCAGTTCAAGTTCCGGGGACAGGGCCTGCGCACACGGGCGCCCAGTTGAAGTTCCGGGGGCAGGGCCTGTGCACACGGGCGCCCAGTTGAAGTTCCGGGGGCAGGGCCTGTGCACACGGGCGCCCAGTTTAAGGAGGTCATGGCTTTTCTTAATAAGACCCAGCAGCCTCTTTGCTCAGAAGACAGGAATGAGCAAGGGCCTCTTCCTGCGGTCCCGGGGCAGCCCCCATCTGTCCGGGTAGCCAGCCCAGGTCTGCTTGTCTCCCTGGCTGTGGACGTGGGTCCCACGGGTAGTTTACAGCCTTATCTCCCGAGGCCCTGGGGCTCTGGACGCCCCTTTCAGAGGGAGCCCGAGCCTCACTGATGACACAGTTGGCAGCTGCTTCTTGCGGTTGCCACTTGCAGACAGAAAATGAGGGACTTCCCCGTGGGTTCTGTGCTTTTTCCAGATCATCAGACATTTTTGCAAGAGAGAACTAAGTTCACTTCCTGATCTGAGCTCAGACAGGGATGAGGTCGGGCCGGAGGCGGGGGTCCCAGGCACTGCCCCCCTCCCCCCTCCGCTGCTACTCCAATGAGGAGGCCACAGGGTCTGAGTCAAAGCGACCATGTCTTCACCGGTCACTGTAGGAACTGCATGTCTCAGAGAGATTGCAAGATGGCAGAGCCGTGTGTGTGTGCATGTGTGTGTGTGTATGCGTGTATGCATGTGTGCGTGCATGTATGTGTATGCATGTGTGTATGTGTGCATGCGTATGTCCGCACGTGTGTGTGCATGTGCACTTACATCTAAGGGAAAGTGGGCATGTGGGCCCACATGGGAACCTCGGGAAGACACCTGGGGCCTGGCACCAGGCTCTGCGCTGCTGTCTTTGCTTTGTCTTGTGGGTCTGCCTCCTCCCTGGTGCTGTCAGCCTTTCCCCCGACACCCCATTCGTCACCTGGGGTGGGCGCCAGGGGAAAGGAATATACTCATGGCCTTTGCCCCTTGCTCCCATCTGGCCGAGGGCCGGGGCCCATGTAGGGTCAGCCTGGGCACACGCGCCTCCTGCTTCTTGCCTGGCTAGTCTTGCTGCGTCCTTCCCTTCTCTGCACCCAGGCACCAGGTCTGCGGGCAGCCCGCAGGGCGCACTCCCTGCACCCAGGCACCGGGTCTGCGGGCAGCCCGCAGGGCGCACTCCCCGCCACTCCCTTTGTGGCCCTGGGGAATTTCTGAACCTGCAGTGATGGCAGTGTCTCCCCGCCCCACCCCATTGCTGTGAGGGTGCCGTGGGCCGAGCCCCATGCAGCCTTAGTGGTCTTAGCCCTGCTGCCGTCAGAGGCTCCCCAGCTGCTAGGACACAGGAAAGAACCCCCCGAAATGCCCTGACTTTGTTGCTGGAACAGATGAGATTCCAGGGGACGGCGGTGGAATTCGCGGTGGCTCAGCCCTGTGGGTCGGCCGGGAATGTCTGGATTGAGAGTGATTTAGGGCTGTGCCGGCCGCACATTCCTCTGGGGCCGTCCAGGAGCCCTGGTCCCCAGGGCCGTCGGCCATTGTAATTGGGAATTTTTACCAAGTGGCAGCCAAGGGTGGCTGGGAGCTCTTGGGGGATAGACATGAGCTGGGTTTCCGTCCCGAATGCTGGTGTTTTTGCCGTAGTGACACGGCCTGCGTGGGCGGCGTGGGCTGCCAGCCTCGTGCCCGCGTGTGCGAGGGTGTGGCAGCGCCTGGCTCAGGATTCGGTGCTGAGACCGTGGAGGTGAGGTTCACCCAGTGCAGGCCCGACTTCCACTTGGGCACCTGCCCTCGGAAGGCGAGGACTTTGGGGCTCTGGGCGCCCCGAGGTAGGAGAGCTGTTGCAGGACCCCGGCGAGCAGCAAAGCGGTAACGAGCCAAAGGGAGAAGGAGGAAGGGAAACGGGAGCCTGTCAGGAGACGCGCAGTCCTGTTGGTGTGTCCTGGGAATGTCTGGAAACAGGAGCCCGCCCGGCCAGCCCCTCGGGAGCCACGTTCTGCCGCACACCAAGGCCCTGCACGCTCAGGGTCCCGCGCATGCCCACTCCGGAGGTTGGCATCGTGGCTCTGAAAGCGGAGATGACATGTGCAGGGCCACTCCTGGGGCTGTTTGGTCGCAAAGTGGGTGCTCCAGGCCACGCTCATGGTGCTCAGGACGGGCCCCTCCACAGCCTCTTGGGGATCGGTCTCCTGGCGTCTCCGCTGCCCTTCGAGGAGATGTCTCCTGGGTGCCTGTCCCTGGCCTGGAATCTGGACCTCCTGCTGGGCGGGGTTGGGCTGCTCCTGGGGGAGAGTGCAGACCCCTCCCGCGCTGTCCCCACATGTCCTGAGCACCCCCATGCCCCCCGCCCCAGCCCAGCAAAGACTGGAGAGCCCAGGCTGGCGGCCACAGTGCTCAGAAGGCCCACAGGCCCAGCACAGTTCCTGGGCTTTGTGCCCTCTCTAGCTCCCGTGTCCCCTGCAGGCTCTGAGAGGGTGAGACCTGCTCAGGGCACCTCTGGGGCACTCGGCAGAGCTGGGACTCCACGCTGGGTCTTCTGGCCCCGAGATGCAGGCCCGGCCCTGCCACAGGGTCAGATTTGGTGGGAGAGATGGCACTGACCTGGGCGAGAGGGCAGGTCACCCTAGAAAGGGCACCTGGTGGGCAAGAGTCCCCCACCCCATCCATAACTAAGCAGGCGTTTCGCCTCCCTCCAGGTGAGACCAAGGCCTCAGGAGAGACAGGCCTCTAACAAGCCCTCTAGGCTCAGGAGCAGTAGGGCCCCCACACTGTCCCTGCCACTCACCTGTGGCTCTTGGGGTGGGGACAGCCGAGCCCAGAGTGCTGGAATGTGCCCAGGAATGTCCTGTCGCACCCGCTGCCATTGGGCATGTCGTGGCCACCTGCCCGCCTTGGGCACGCTGGGACATGCTGGCCGGGCCGGGCTGGGCTGCCGCCTCCCTGGCCCCCACAGGACTCTGGTGGCCAGCCCCCCCCCCCCCCCCGCATGCCCGGGATTTCTGCTCTTGTGCCCCTTCCAGGTGGGACCCAGATGGGGTCAGTGGCCCTGCTTAGTCTGTTTCCATCTGGGGCTGGTGATGGGGACCCGGCCCCTGCCTCCGTCTGGGCGCAGCTGGGCACCATGAAGTGTTGTTGGAATCGGGTGGAGCCTCCCCGTTCACCTTCTCGTTCCAGCCCCACCAGGGCAGTTTTATTTCCCCATTTTACAGACGGGGAAAAAGAAACTCAGGCTGCACAGGGGGCCCGAGGAAACTCCAGTCCCAGAGGCAGCGTCAGGATTCTACCCCAGTGGGTCACTTCGAACCCTCCACGCAACTTTGTCTCGTTTCTCCAGCATCCGGGACGAGCTCCAGAGCCCCGCCGAGCAGTCCCTGGGGGTGACGTGGGGCCCAGGATAGAGGGGCAGTGGAGGGCGTTCTAGCTGGGTTGAAGGGAGAGAGGCTTAGTGGGGGTGACCCTGCTGACAGGACACCCGCAGGGGAGCTGGGCGGATGCCACCAGCCTGGCGGGCAGGGCGGGGCAAGACGCCGGGAGCGGCTGCCTGGCCTTCAGAGGGGCTCAGGCCCGGACTCTGGCCCCGGAGCGAGGCCTTTGCTGTTCGTGAAGGTTTGGGGGGCAGGTGCGGGGTCAGGGCTGGGACACGTGAGCAGCCGTAAGGCCTGAAGGGGCCATTGCGGGCCCTGGGATGGATTTGGTGGCCGGCCTCAAGTGACGGCAAAGCTGTGGGCAAACCTGTGGACCACCCTCACTTTGTGGATGGGCCTGAGCCGGCCGGGCTCCCCAGGAGCCAGAAGCCCGGTGCCCAAGCCCGTCGGGCACAGGGACACCACACTGGGCCTGCACATGGCTGGGAAGCCACCCTTCTCAGCACAGAGGACAGCGGGGAGGCCCAGGAGGGCGCAGTGTTTTGGCCTGAGGGCCTCCAGAGCTGTGCCTCGACCCTTTCCTGTTGCCCACTGGAGGTGCCTTCAGGGGGAGCTGTTGCCCTCGGACCCCTGACCTTGGACCAGTCATAGAGCAGGGAGGGGTGGACGACATGTGCCATGGCCCGCTGTGCAGCCAGTGAGGAGCCCCTCTGGATGTGGCAGGGGAGGGCAGGGTTCTGGGCACCTCGGGGGGGTGGCAGCTGGACATTTTTTTATACTCACCTGGGATATGTTTCCATCGATTTTTCAGACAGAGTGGAAGGACGGGAGGGAGAGCGAGAGAGAGAGACATATCGATTGATTGCCTCCTACATGACCCCGATGGGGGCCGGGATCAAACCTGCAACCCAGGTACATGCCCTTGATCGAAATGAAACCCATGACCCTTTGGTCCGCAGGCCAACGCTCTAACCACTGAGCCAAACTGACCAGAGCTAGCCGAGCATTCTGTACTGACCCTCCGGGGCCTCTTCTCAGCGGGCCTGGCAGCGCCCTGTGGGTTGTCGGGGTTGGTCCAGTTAGTGGGGACCCCAGCGTCCCTGCTCCCAGAGCCCGCCCTCCTGTTCAGCTGTGTCGTCAGTGGGGTGAGCGGGTGCTGTCTGGGACCGGCTGGGATGCTGGCTCCCAGAGGTTCGCAGGGCCAGGCTTACCCGAGGACGGCACGTGCTCCGTCCAGTGCCGGGCCTGCCGGGCGTGGAGACTGTGCCTCTGGAGTGTTCTGTGCCGAGTCCTGCTCGGGCACATGAGTTGGTCAGTTTGTTTCCTCAACGTTTGTCTGCTTTTTTCTATTACTCGTATTTTATCGTCGGGGAGGACGGGACAGATCCCCCACCAAACTGAAAGGAGGTATAGCCGAATGTGACACTCGAACTTCGCCTCAGTCTCGTGTCACCCTGGGCGTAGCACACGCCGACGGGGCGAAGTGGGGTCCACGTTCACACACACCTGCGCCACCTGGCCCAGCACCCACCTTCGCTGTGCGTCCCAACATTTCCGCTGCACCCAGGTTCTCACAGTCCCCCCGACCTTCCGAGAAGCAGGCTGCCTCCGCTCCCTCCCGCCGTGGGCACGGGGGGCTGGCAGCTGTCTGGACGGTGGACACCGGCCTGTTTGCTTGAGGCTGCTGCCCTGGGAGATGGGCCTTCTTTGGGGGAAGCTGGGGTTTGGAGCACAAAGTAGCCCCCGCCTGGGGTCACCCACAAAACCCACAGTGTCCTCCCACGGAGCAAGAAGCCCCAAACCAGCGCCAGGCAGGCGGGGGGGGGCATGTGGCAGGCCCGTGGCTGACGCCCACAGGCACATGTCTGACACGGGGGGCCCCTTTGCCGTTCGGGGCTGGCCCTTCCTGTTTGCAGGCCCCGGGCTTGTGTAAAACTCTGCCCTGGCCGGATTGGCTCCGCGGTGGGAGCATCGGCCTGCGGACCAGAGTCCCGGGTTTGGTTCCCGCTAGAGGCACGTACAGAAAAAAAAAAAGAAGTATTTTGGCTACTGTCAAGTGCAGGAACTTGGGGCTGGTGGGGATTTTTTTTTTTCCTGCAGTTCCACAAAGAGCTATTTTCAAAATGCATAACCTTGTTCCTGCCGATAAGGAGAGTAGGAGAGGCCACGAGAACTAACATGGAGATGGAGGTGATCTCAACACAACCTTCTAAATCGTTCTGACTTGGGGGCTTTTATTAGCCTCGTGGTACAACAGAGAAACTGAGGCTCGGGAGGGTAGTGATTTGCCAAGGTTCCCGTCCAGCCTTTTCAAGGCTGTTGCCCCTCCCCGATCGAATGCCCTCTGACGCCGGCCCAGAGGTCAGGAGGTCCCCCCCCACCCCATTAGCCTCAGTCTGCCCATTTACAAAATGCAAGTTATTAAATGAGTTGGTGATTTGCTCATTTTTCCAAAAAGGATCCGGTCTCTGGGAGCCGGAGCAGAGGCTGCTGGGGCAGGGCTGGGGGGGCCCGGGCTCGGCAGCCCTGTCTCCCTGCGTCCTGGCGCGGTGCCCAGGGCAGCCAGCTTCAGGCGGCCGAACAAAACCCAGTGCCCGCCTCGGAGCCACCTTCTGTGACCCCCCCACTCGGCGTATGTCTCGGCCGCGCGTTGGCCTTGGCCCCCTGCCAGACCCTTGTGTGCTTTGAAAAGGTCCCTCGTTAGAGAATTCTCTCCACCAGGCGACCCAGGTGGTTTCACGCGTCCCGGCTGAGTGTGTGCGGAGCGCACGCCGCAGAGACCAAGTGTGTTTTCCGACTGTGAGGCCCTTCGGTGTCGCCCTCCACACCTCTGTGTGCGCTGGCCATCTGCCACCCGGGGCCTGGTGCAGACACCCGAACCACAGTGCGCCTAGGGGCTCGAGCAGAGGGGGGCCTGCAGGCCACAGCCTCCAGCCCTGCTCCTGCCCACGGTCCCGAGACCCTGGACTGTGCAGACACCCAGGCTGAGCCAGGCGGGGCTGACCAGGGTGGGTCCTTCCTTCCCGTCCTGTCCCCAGGCTGCACTGAGCACCGACATGAGCTGACCCGTGGGCCAGGCAGTGGGGTGCAGGGCAGGGCTGTGTGGGGCCAGCAGGTGCACCCTGGCTTGGGGCTGGCTTCCGGAGGGGGGCGCAGAGCTGGGTTTTGGTGGATGAGGAGAGGCCTGGGAGTAGGTCTCAGTAGACAGTGTCGGCCTCAGCAGAAGCAGCTGGGAAGGCAGGGACTTCCCAGTAACTGCCCAGAGCCAGCCCTCCACCCCAGACATTTCCGGGCCCACCCCCAGCTGTTTGATCCTAGAACCCGTGATCTTGGAAGAGCCCGAGTACCCGCTGCCAAATCAGGTGCTCACCGGGCCCCA